ATATATGTATATATATATGTATATATATATATGTATATATATATATATGTATATATATATATATATGTATATATATATATATGTATATATATATATGTATATATATATATGTATATATATATGTATATATATATATGTATATATATATATATATATGTATATATATATATGTATATATATATATATGTATATATATGTATATTGCAGGAAGAACAACGAAGGGAAGATCAGGAAAACACACGAATATGCCGAAGGCCTTTTCGCAATTTATTGCTTCATCAGGGCATACATAACAAGAGATACATAGAAGTATATATACTAGTACTGGGCGGTCAGGTCACGTTGGTGATCAGGTGAGCGACGACCTTGGCTAGTTCGTGGCTCCCCGTAGCGGTGTTGAAGTTGTTTGTTGAGTGTATGTATGCCGCTTCCACCATCTTCCTTTGCCGTGGGGGCAGGCCTTGCTTAATGATGGAGGCCTGGGACCACTTGGGGAGATGGCCGTCGGTGTTGACGTGAACGACGAAGGCGCTTCTCGTGTCGTGTCGTCGGAGGGCGCCGCGATGTTGGTCTATTCGTCGTTCGTGGAGGCCACGTCCTGTCTCACCTATGTAGACTCTATCGCAGCCGCCGCAAGGAATGCTGTAAACCTGGCTAAGAGGTCTGTTGTGGTCTGACCTCTTTTCCCTTACGATGTCTCCGATCTTTTTACCGGACGTGGTGGCTATCTTCATCGTATGGCCCAACAGGGCCTCCAGGTGATGCGTCAGCTGCGAGTGTGGGATGATGATCCTGTGTGTTTTGTTCTGTGTTGCGTCCCCTCTTGATCTGGACATGATCTTCTCTGCCTTGCGTCGGAGGTGGGCGAGCAAAGTGCGAGGGTAACGTAGGCGTTGGAAGGTGTTGTTGACGTGTTGCATTTCTTCCTCCAGGTATTCCGGGCTGCAGATTCTAAGAGCTCGAAGGAAGAAACCAATGACCACGCCTTCTTTGGTCCTATTGCTGTGGGCGGAGAAATAGTGAATGAAATCATCTTTATTAGTGGGTTTTCTGTATACAGAGAATACCGGACCGTCTGATCTCCTATGGATTATGGTGTCGAGGAAAGGCAGCTGTTCGTTACTCTCCTCTTCTGTGGTGAACTGTATCGATGCGTGCACGGCGTTCAGTCTGTGGAGGAGGTTATGAAGGTCAGTTCTGGTGGGTAATACAGCGAGGATGTCGTCTACGTAACGGAGCCAAACTACGTTCCTCCCCACGATGTTCCGGTAGTGGTCAGCCTCGAGGGTTTCCATGAACAGCTGGGCGAGGACTGCTGAAAGGGGTGAGCCCATGGCAAGTCCCTGGATTTGTTCGTACTCACGTCCTCGGAATTCGAACAGGCCAAACTCCACGCAGAGGCGGATGAGTGCGGAACATCGTGGGGAGGAACGTAGTTTGGCTCCGTTACGTAGACGACATCCTCGCTGTATTACCCACCAGAACTGACCTTCATAACCTCCTCCACAGACTGAACGCCGTGCACGCATCGATACAGTTCACCACAGAAGAGGAGAGTAACGAACAGCTGCCTTTCCTCGACACCATAATCCATAGGAGATCAGACGGTCCGGTATTCTCTGTATACAGAAAACCCACTAATAAAGATGATTTCATTCACTATTTCTCCGCCCACAGCAATAGGACCAAAGAAGGCGTGGTCATTGGTTTCTTCCTTCGAGCTCTTAGAATCTGCAGCCCGGAATACCTGGAGGAAGAAATGCAACACGTCAACAACACCTTCCAACGCCTACGTTACCCTCGCGCTTTGCTCGCCCACCTCCGACGCAAGGCAGAGAAGATCATGTCCAGATCAAGAGGGGACGCAACACAGAACAAAACACACAGGATCATCATCCCACACTCGCAGCTGACGCATCACCTGGAGGCCCTGTTGGGCCATACGATGAAGATAGCCACCACGTCCGGTAAAAAGATCGGAGACATCGTAAGGGAAAAGAGGTCAGACCACAACAGACCTCTTAGCCAGGTTTACAGCATTCCTTGCGGCGGCTGCGATAGAGTCTACATAGGTGAGACAGGACGTGGCCTCCACGAACGACGAATAGACCAACATCGCGGCGCCCTCCGACGACACGACACGAGAAGCGCCTTCGTCGTTCACGTCAACACCGACGGCCATCTCCCCAAGTGGTCCCAGGCCTCCATCATTAAGCAAGGCCTGCCCCCACGGCAAAGGAAGATGGTGGAAGCGGCATACATACACTCAACAAACAACTTCAACACCGCTACGGGGAGCCACGAACTAGCCAAGGTCGTCGCTCACCTGATCACCAACGTGACCTGACCGCCCAGTACTAGTATATATACTTCTATGTATCTCTTGTTATGTATGCCCTGATGAAGCAATAAATTGCGAAAAGGCCTTCGGCATATTCGTGTGTTTTCCTGATCTTCCCTTCGTTGTTCTTCCTGCAATTTGTTTGACATGAATTCCATATATGTATATGTATATATATGTATATGTATATATATGTATATGTATATATATATATATATATATATATATATATATATATATATATATATATATATATATATATATAAATATATATATATCTATAAAATATAAATATAAATATAAATATAAATATATATATATATATATATATATATATATATATATATATATATATATATATATACATATATATATATACATATATATAGATACATATATATTCAAATATATATATATACAAAAATATTTAAATACACATATATACATATATATATATGATGAAAGCAAACAAACCAAAGAACCAAAGTCTACCTAAGTATCTGCATAGTACAAAGAAAATTCAGATTACAACATAATCAAGTCTTAGAATTCCCATCTTTGTCACAATGAAAGGACAAAAAACATACCTTCTCTAACTGTTTACTCGAGACCTCAATCGCAAACACAGAGTGATGGAAGTGCCTGCGCAAGGACGGGACATAGATGCGTGTGAGCTGGACAAGTTGCGGTGTGTTGATTTGGCTTGGAGTCATCTTAAGTACTTCAGCTGCTAAGCTGATAGAAACCAGTTCGTAACTTACATCCCTTGGCTGTAAAAAGTCAATATCAAAAATATTTGTTTCTAATATATTCATCATATTACATCATATTCATCTGCAATAGCTATTAAAAATCAATAGACTGACATTTTGATCCAAGAATCTCAAATTCTTATCTAAGGCTGATTTTTTTTTTTTCTTCTTCTTTAATGCCCAAATTTCCTACAGTTGTGGTTCTCTGAGATAAAGCTATGTAAAATGTATAGTAAGAACCTATGTGACACCAAAAGAAATGAAAAGGTATCTAATTTGAAGAAGTAATAGGTTCTTAACCCAATGACAACAGGAAACCATGCCATAATGAACAACACGTCATGGTTTATGCAGAGTCAGCTGCTCAAAAGAAAAAAATAGAAGCCCAGGAAACATGAAATTACTCCGTGATTTATACTCTTCACTGAAGCATCAACCATTTTTTAGGTAGAGCCTAAAAAAGAGGCTGTAAGCCTACATTTGAGGGTCTGTTTTTCAACAAATGAAACTAGGGCCAAACAATTTTACAAAAGTTTGATTACTTTCAAAGAGTTAAGTTGGGCATTTTTTTTTTATATAACTAAAAAATTAATATCATATACACTAATTCAGAACAAGGTCAACTATGCATCACTGGCACCTATGTACATAAATGTAAAACTCACAAATATCAGGAGTCAGTTTTGTGTGAAAGTAATTTTATTTACCAGTAACTGTATACAAAAAAATCAATGTTAATGTTACTAACAACTTTATGATCAATAGTCTGTTTATAAAGTCTACTGTCCAGATTGTTTTTATGGCCAGGATAACTTGGGAGAGAGTAAAATATACTAGAGAAATTGCAAAGTAAATTCTGATAAAATAGCATGAACATTAACAATTAAACTAATGTGGAAATAAATGCTCTTGCACAATTTCTACAAATTTCTACCCCTTATAAACTTATTTAAGAAGCCCAGACTGAAGCCTTACATGCAGAGGTAAGTTATTTTCAAAAGCCATAACATGTGCAGTTAAATTTTCCTTTTGTCCAAAAATGCAGTTTACTGTTGCACAGCTATTGTATTGCATTATGTAATCATTCAATATATTGTGCACCACAAACTTTCCAGTCTGAAGCCATACTAATCTTCCATGAGAGGGAGTAGAGTATCAAACTTATGCATAACAATGTTTTAGTTAGGTCGTAATAATCTGATGGTGCTATGCTCAATCTGTGTTTATTTGTATTTGACCTTTTTATGCAGAAACGCACTTCTTTTAGCCTGCCGAAATAAATTTGTTATGGGCGCGAAGTAAGCGAGGGGGAAGGAGTAGACTTTCTGAGCTTTTAGTTTTTTGTTTTTCCTCCTAAGTGTGCATACATGGGCCCTCGTTCATTCCAAATATACATTCCAAAATCATCCATGGCTGCCCACCCAGATGAGGAGAGGCGAGGGTGCCGCAGCAGTGCCAAGAGCTGTGCCTGAGGAACCTCCTCCTCCTGCCTCCCGCTCCTGAATCGTATCCTGCGCTGTGATCTCTTTCCTCGGTAGTGTGATGGTGTCTTGATCTTCCCACGCCAATATTTGCATCTCTTCTCCTCCTTCTCCTTGGCAAAACACCAAAAGGGAAACGACATCGCGTACGTTTCCGTCCCAAGGCCTCCGAGAGTGAGATGGGGTCTTGGCTTCCCTTGTTTCCGCCGCCATGACTGTCTCTGCTGTTCGGTTCCCTGCTTGACCTTCATTCTGAATATTCTCGGGCTGGCGCGACATGGAGACACGTGGCAATAAAAAATGGGCGTATTAATTTCAGCTATACATACAATCTTAATTATTTTACATGGGTTTGGGTGGTAGTTATCGAATATGTTTATAGGCTGATGTCCTGCTGCAAGGGATTCGAACAGTCTGTATTTTCAT